CCCCCCCCCCGTGAAAACAGAGATTACTGAATAATCAAGCCCTAGAGCAGGGGTAGGCAACCTTTTTTTACCTTGGGGCGGTCCAGCGAAGTCCCTCCCACCGCTGAGCCGAGGGGGGGGATGGTGGAGTGTCTCCACCGCCACCGCCATTTTGGAAATCAACATGACGGTTACGACACGTTTGCGCATGCGCAGTGCTCCTGCGCATTCTCAAACGCATCACGACCGCCATTTTGATTTTCAAAATGGCGGTTGCGGGGGGCGCGGCCGCATGCCAACAAAAACGCGTGGCAGCAGTGGCGCACGGTGGCAGCGGCGGCAACCTTCCGCCTGGGCTGGTAAGTCCAGGGACCTGGGCCTTAACCGGCCCCCGGGCCGTAGGTTGCCGGCCCTGCCCTAGAGGCTTCAATGGGGCACACCCTATTGATTTAAATGGAGGTCGCCGCTCTGTGAATATGTAAAACCACAGACTTGAAGTCTGCGAGAATGGAGGGGTGACCATACACCATTTCTCCTTTTAGCAGCCTGGCTTGGGAACTAATTTTTTTTTTTTAAATAATGGATAGAAGATTTAATCCATTGTTTTTGCAACTACTTATCTTGCTGAGCTGCCATTGTATGATTGCCCGGCATGCTGCCAAGTTGCAAAAACAATGGATTGTATATTTGGTAATTTGGTGTGTGTGTGTGTGTGTGTGTGTGTGTATCCTGCAAGCATTAACTTCTAACAGGTATATTTTGGACGCATTATATATATAATGCACCTATAGGTCACACAAACACAAAGGCAGCACTGAAAGGGAGGTGGATGGCGGATGTCCCAAAAACTGAGTTGGGATGGTAAACACCCCTCTGCCATTAATCTCTCCCCTCCAGTATGATCCAATTCAGATCCATTGTTCCCATTTGTTGAACATGCTTTGAATCAATTCTTTTCAAAACAACCATCAAAGAACTAGAGTTAGGAAACAGCAGCTTTTTTTGTGTGTTTGGCTCACTTCATCACGATTGCAACTAAGCTCAATAGGATTAGAACTGGTTTCAGGTGGGAATGACCGATCTGCAATTTGCTTTAAATCATAGTGGGAACAAGTCCTAGGACATTATCACACGTGGGTCACAAAGCGATAATAAACTGGAAATGACAAATT